CCTCTCACTCACTGAGGGATGTGTTGGGTTTCAGGACAGCACCTTCTTCCTGTCCCTCTCCTCAGCCCACGATGCCCTTTGGCTGCACACTTTGCACAGGGCACACAAGCACAGGGCACTTTTCCAGGACACACTGTCAGTCCTGAGAACAGCCCTGAGCTGTGGCAGCGCTGCCAAGCAGGGCAGGCTGAGGGCAATGGCCTTTGGGTGCCTGGAGCTGTGGCTCTGGGCTCCAAGATGGTTTTCCTGGGAAAGGAATGGAGCTGCCCAAAGGATTGAGGCCTGGCAAGACCCTGCACTTCCACGTGCCTGGGATGCTCAGGGAGGGGACGTGCCCAGAAGGGCCCTGGGTACAAACCCAGCTCTCACACTACGCCAAGCAGCGATGCTCTTCCTGCCCTGCAGACATGGAGGCAGCTGGGACGCATCCCAGGAGGGCAAGGGAATGCCTTCAGTAGGCAAATTGCCTGGGATAGTCTCATAGACTCTCCCAATCCATGGTGAGTCAAGCCCTAATTTTGGAGTGGCCTTTTGGACTGAGGCCAAGCCAGGAGTGTGTGCTGTCTGCAGGTTTGTGTCCCATGTGGGGCAGAATTCCCCACCAGCAAGGGCAGCTCCATCCTTGCCCCAGGCAAGTGGATGCTTGGCAGCACTTCCACAGGTCAGGAGTGTCCTCAGGACTGACAGTGTGTCCTGGAAAAGTGTCCTGTGCTTGTGTGTCATCCAGGTCAGGGGGTAAAATGTGCAGCCAAAGTGCATCGTGGGGTGAGGAGAGGGAAGGAACAAGGAACTGTCCTGAGACCCAACAGACCCCTCTGACAGTGAGGACGGTGGGACACAACTCCACAGGGCTTCTTGAGGAACCATGTGGTCAGGGAGGGCAAAAATCTCCTTCCACAACCCTGCTGACAGCACTGGTGGGGAGCCCCAGAGCCTGCAATGAGAGCAGACAACTGTGCCAAAAAACCAAGAATTGTATTCCCAGAAGGAGAAGATTTCCTTGGACAAAGCCATTTGAAAGCAGCAACATAACCTGCCAGCCTATAGAGGCAAAGTGCAGTGAGTGCTGGCCTGAGCAGGGAGGCAGGCAGGGAGGGAGAGGGCTGCAGCATGTCCTCCTTAGGAGAAGACTGTGGGGACTCAGGAGAGGATTGCATTGGGGGGAAGACATGATCCCTCTGAGGGGTTTCAAAAAACCTCACCATATTTCCCCACAGCCTCGTCCTCTGCCTGCACAGACCCCTCCAGCACGTGGGGGCACATCTTCTGCCTGTGCTGACATGATCCTGCTCAGGAAATCCTCAGGCCTTTCATGCCAATACTTCAAAAGATCCTCTGTGGATCCTCATGGTCATGTCAGAAATGAGGAAATGAGATGGCAGCGTTGACAGAAACCAAAACACCACCTGTGGCATAAGGTTGGGTATTTTTGGAGGTGAGTCTATTGGAAAATTGCTGCCCTTGTGCAGTGACTGTGGGCCTGGGGCAGTGCAGGAGCTGTATAAAAGTGAGCTTTTCTCCTCACTCTCTCATCCACTCCTTTACCTCAAATTCATTTGGAAGAAGGTGAGGTTTGACCCTTTCTTATCCTCCTCCTTGTCCTCCTTCTCCTCCTTCTTCTTCCTTCCCTTTATCTTCCCCCTGGTCCTTCTCTGGGGTTTTCTGTCACGTACTTGCCTCCTTGTTCTCTGCTGCCTTGAGGCTGCTTACCCCGGGAGAGAGAAGGTGCACATGGAGAAGGGCTGGACTGAGGTGTCTCCTGAGCTATGGGTTAGTGGGGTCCTCCTTGGCCTTGGTCACTCTTGGTGGGGCTCATTGGGGTTGAGAGAAAGGATGTCCTTCATGGTATGGTGAGAGGCTGCCCTTCAAACACACCTCATGCCTTGATTTTTCTTGCCCTCTGTCCCAGGTGCAGCTCCAGCCCCAGACATGTCCTGCTACACCCCGTGCCTGCCCTGCCAGCCCTGCGGCCCGACCCCGCTGGCCAACAGCTGCAATGAGCCCTGTGTCAGGCAGTGCCAGGACTCCACTGTGGTCATCCAGCCCTCCCCCGTGGTGGTGACCCTGCCCGGGCCCATCCTCAGCTCCTTCCCACAGAACACCGCCGTGGGATCCTCCACCTCCGCTGCCGTTGGCAGCATCCTCAGCTCTCAGGGAGTGCCCATCAACTCCGGGGGCTTTGGCCTCTCTGGCCTGGGCAGTGGCCTCTGTGGCAGGACCTGCTTCCCCTGCTAAAGCTGCTCCCTGCTCTGGGCTCTCCCCTTGGATCCACCTCTCTTCCCTCCCTTGACTCATTAAATTCTGATGCATCCCAGCCCACGCCTCCGTGTCATCCTTTCCCCTGCAGCTGCTCTCCAGTATGATTTCCAGGTGGAGAGATGTTGCTCAGGGGTTGTTTTGAGAGGCAGTTTTAGAGAAAGGTGTTTCACTGACTTTTAAGACAAGAGTGTCTGAATGTACTCCATCAGGCTGTTGCTGCTTTCCAACCTTCTCAACCTGCTCAAGCCTGGATAGAAGGAACCAATCCTCTTCACTGGCTGCAGCTGCTCCAAGGACGATTTTATCTCTCTGACCAAAGCATTCTCCTTTCCACACTCAGCAGTCCCGGTGCCTGAGTCACGTGCTCAGCCTCCTTATCATCCCAAACCCCCTGCACTGAACTTCCCCCCTTGCTCAGGGTTGTTCTTGCATTCCAGCCTGTCCTCAACACGGCTGATGCCACCAGGCGAGTGCTGAGCAGAGCAGCATCGTGGCTCCCCTGGGTCTCCTGCTCACACAGCCCAGGGGGTTGAGGACAGTCCTCGGGGTCTGGGCACAGTTGGGGCAGTGGCTCCTGTTCTCATGGGGTCACTACAGGAGCCCCTTTCTCTGGCCCTGTGTCCTGGTCTCAGCTGAGTGGAGTTAATTTGTTCTCAGTATCTGTTCTAGTGCTGTGTTTTGGATTCAGAAGGAGAACGGTGTTGACAACACACTGATGGTTTGGGTTTCTGATAAGTCCTGTTTATCCTAAGTCTTTTTTTTTTTTGCCTCCTACTCTGCCAGTGATGAGGTTGACAAAAGAAACTGAGAGGGAGCAGAGCTGGGACAGGTGATCCAATCTCACCAAAGGAATATTCCACAAATAGAACATCAGACCCAGTCTGTATACTTGGGGGAGTTATCAGGAAGGGGGATCTGGCATCAGTCAGAGGGTGGTGAGCAATTGTATTGTGCATCACTCGGTTTTCCCCTATTATGATCATTATTATGAACATTTACCATTGTTGCTGTATTTTTATTTTATTTTCAATTATTAAACTGTTCTTGTCTCAGCCTACAAGATTGTCCTCATTCACCTGAGCTTTGGGGAGAGAGGAAGGTATCACAACCCCCTGTTTGGGGCTGTGCATGCCAGGGGCCGAGGCAGTGTGGGTGGGGACGTGGCTGGTTGGTACCAAGCCAGCTTGTGATCAGGACTCGGGATGAAGATGTTCCGGCCTGCCCTGCTATGTCCTGCAGACATCCCCCTCCCTCAGCTCCCAGTCTCTGCAGCCTGTGCTGCTGTCACTGCACTGCTTTGGAGAGCTCCTGGGCAGCCCTTGGAGACACTCAGCCCACACCCACTGCCTCTCTTCCTGCTTTAAATCTCTCCCTGCCTCCATCTCTCCATCAGCTTTCCCAGGAAGCCCTGGGCACAGACAGGGAAGGAGGAGGGCAAGGAGGACAAGCACTGCCCGTGGGCCTGTGTGGTGTCATGAGCAGCACCAAGCACAGAGCAGCTCTTCTCATGATCCACTGACCCAGAGGGATGGGGGAGAACTGGAGAGAGTGGGATATCCTGGGGTCAACATCAGGACAATCTGTGAAGGGATGGGGAAAAAGAGAGAAACCCAAGTGGTTCAAAGGTAATCCCCCTGTACCTGGCACCAGCAGCCCAGTGCCCAGGCAGTGTCCAAGAATGGCTCCATTGGGAAAATGCCCAGAGCTTTATTGCTGAGCGTGGTGTGATATGTGCCAAGGGCAGTGGTGGAGTCACCGTCCCTGGGGGAACTTAAAAGGTGTGTAAATGGGACACCTGGGGGTAGGGTCTAGTGTTGAGCTTGGCAGTGCTGGGTTAATGGTTGGACTCCTTGATCTCAAAGGTCTTTTCGTGTCTCGATGATTTTATGACTCCGAATGACATGGAATAGCCCTTTGGTCAGCTGAGGTCATCTGTCCTGGCTGTGTCACCTCCATCTGCTTGTCCACCCCTGGACTGCACTGCAGGGGATGCAGAGTGAGAAAGAGAGATGCAGCAATAGCTCAAGCTTTGGTGTGTTCTCTGCACTGGTTTAGCCACACATGTGAAACACAGAACAACATTGGCTGCTCTGAAGACGGTGACCCCCATCCCGGCCAGCACCAGTACAGACTGGTGTTCCATTCCCTCTCCTCTTGTCCTCTGAGGCTTTTTTTGGTTTGAGCCTCCTGTTCCAGAATGATGGCACCCAGGGCAAAATAAATTGCTGTATCTTCTTTCCTTTCCCTTCCTCTCCCCTCCTATCCAGTTCTCAGGGGCTTTGAGGGCTTCTGCCCTCCCAGAGCCTTCCACAGCCCAGGCTTCTCAACCAGCTCGTGCAGCGGCCACGCGTCCCTTGCACAGAACGAGCAGCGAGGCCCAGAGGACTGGGCTGGGCAAGGCTGGATCTGACAGCCAGGGGCTCAGCTGGAGTCAGGGGTTCCTTCCACACCTGCAAGTGACGGTGCCCTAGGGGCACAGTCACCGGCTCAAGGTCCAAGTGGAAACCAGTGCTGACTGGTGTCCTTCAGGGGTCAATACTGGGACCATATTTGTTAATATGTTCATCGATGACATGGGCAGTGGACTGGGTGGACCCTCAACAAGGCTGTGCATGACCCAAGCTGAAGGCTGCACTGCTGCACTTGAGGAAAGTGTTTCAATCTAAGGGATCTTGGCTGACTTGAGGAATGGTCCCGTGTGGGACTCAGGAACTTCAACAAGGCCAGGACTGGAAGGTGAATGGTTTAGAGCAACACTGCAGAGAAGGAACCAGAGAAAATGGAGGTTGAAGTATTTGACATGAGCCAGCAATGTGCACTTTCAGGCCAGAAATTCAGTCATGTCCTGGGCTGCACCAACACAAACATGGCCAGCAGGTCAAGGCAGGGGACTCTCTGTTTCTGGTCTGCTCTTGCTAGACCTCCCCTGGAGCCTTTAGTCCAGTCTGGGGTCCCCATATCAAAACAGACACGGACCTGTTAGAGCAGCTCCAGAGAAGGGCTGCAAAAACGATCGCATGGATACATCACACCTATGGAGAAAGGCTGAGGGAGTCCAAGTTTTTCAGGCAGAAGAAGAGCTGGGTCTGTGGAGATCTTATTGCAGCCTTTGAATATGTAAAGGGCTTGTATAAGGAAGTCGGAGAAAGATATTTTTCCGAGGCCTGTAGCGATTGGATAAGGAGCAACAGTTTTTAATTGAAATAGAGTAGATGTAGATGGGATAAGAGGATGAAATTGATGAGGATGAGTGTGGTGGGATACTGGAAAAGGAGGTGGCCCATCATGGGAAGTGTTCAGGGTGAGTTTTGGTGGAACTCAGAGTAACTGATGTATTGACAGAAAAATGTCAGGAAGGGTCCTCCTGGTGTCTGATGGGAAGCTGGTTCTTGTGTCAGGTCAGTAAGATATTCACTGATGAGAACTTGTGTCACAGAGTGGAGCTTAGGGAGAAAAAGGAAAAGATATGTAAAGTACGTGTATGTTAGTCACTGAAGTGTGTAAGGTAATTGTGTCCTGAGGCAAAGAGGCAGAAATTCAGACACCAGAGGGTCACTCCACACAGGACGGAGCTCACTCGGGGCCAGCCTGACAAATGGTGCAAAACCATCCCCAAGAAGCCCCTCCCAGAAACCCCCTGGGGCAACATCTGTGCCTTGGGAGAGTGTGTGCAGGGGAAAGGATGACACGGAGGCGTGGGCTGGGATGCATCAGAATTTAATGAGTCAAGGGAGGGAAGAGAGGTGGATCCAAGGGGAGAGCCCAGAGCAGGGAGCAGCTTTAGCAGGGGAAGCAGGTCCTGCCACAGAGGCCACTGCCCAGGCCAGAGAGGCCAAAGCCCCCGGAGTTGATGGGCACTCCCTGAGAGCTGAGGATGCTGCCAACGGCAGCGGAGGTGGAGGATCCCACGGCGGTGTTCTGTGGGAAGGAGCTGAGGATGGGCCCGGGCAGGGTCACCACCACGGGGGAGGGCTGGATGACCACAGTGGAGTCCTGGCACTGCCTGACACAGGGCTCATTGCAGCTGTTGGCCAGCGGGGTCGGGCCGCAGGGCTGGCAGGGCCGGCACGGGGTGTAGCAGGACATGTCTGGGGCTGGAGCTGCACCTGGGACAGAGGGCAAGAAAAATCAAGGCATGAGGTGTGTTTGAAGAGCAGCCTGTCATCACACCATGCAGATGCCTTGTCAAGACAAGATGTAAATAAGTGCATGAAGTGGTGGACTGATGTCCACAGGCTTCTCCTTCTGTTTAGCTAAAAAGTTCCCTGCCAATAGCAACCAGGCCCAGGGATTTTCCACTTATTCCATCACTCACTTCAGTCAAGCCCCAGCCTCTTGCCATGAAGACTCCGCCCCCATCCCTCTCCCATCATAAACCACCCCATAACCCAGCACAGTACAAAGGGACAGGTATGTGCTGAAAAAACCTGTGAAGGAAGAAGACAAGGAAGGAGAGAAGTCTTCAACCTCACCTTGTTTCCAATGAGATGGAGGCAAGTGGACTGATGTGAGTGGGGAGAAAAGCCTACTTTTATACTTCTCCTGCACTGCCCCAGGCTCACAGTCACTCCACAAGGGCAGAAATTTTCCAGCAGACTCATCTCCAAAGCAAAATATCCCACCCAATGGCACAGGTTGTGCTTTTGTTTCTGTAAATGCTGCCATTTCATTTCCTCATTTCTGACATTCCTTCTCTGAGCTGCAGGATCCTTTCATGTGCTACAATGAGAAGCCAAAGGATAGCCCAGGCAGAATCCTGTCAGTGGGGCAGAAGTGCTGGAGGGTTCTGTGGGGGCAGGAAATGTTGGCCTGGGGCATTGAAGTGCAGCTGTTTGCTGCTGCCTTTGTAGGAAGTGCCCCAGCTCTGCCCCATGCAGCACATGTCACCACAGTCCAAAAAGCTCCTTGTCCTTTAGGGATGTGTCACTTGCTTCTCTCTCTTCTATCTTTCTCCACTCTCCTCCAGGATCACAAGCTGTAGCATCTCCAGGCAGCCAGGTTGTGCCAATGGTTTCAGGTCTCTTTCTCTTGGTGCCTTTTGCTCTGGGGAGGAGGTTTTCCAGGTTATCTGGGTGTCCAACAGCATCCTGGGTGGCCTTGGGACGGGGTTTGCCATCAGCCTGTGGAATGGGATCCCTCTTCTCTGCTCCACGGTGCTCAGGAAACAGCTGCCACCAAGAGCAGCTGCCCGGTGTGAGAGAGGCACGGACATACTGGTACCAGTCCAGCAAAGGGCCTCAGAGCCCAGGGAGTGACTGGAGCCCCTGGGACAGGAGGGGCTGCCTGAGGTGGGCTTGTCCCCCTGGAGGAGAGAGGGCATCCTGGCACACTTCCCAGGAATGGGAAAAAGAGCTCTGGAGGGAGTCCAGAACTCAGAGTCAGACTCTCCTGAGTCCTATCCAGTGAAGGGACAAGAGGCAACAGGTACATTTGGAAATATGGGAAGTTCCAGGGAAACATAAGAAACGACATTGTTAGTGTGATGTTGGTAAAGAAGTTGTCTGTGGCTGACATGGACAGCTGTGGATTCTTCATCCTTGAAGGGATTCAGAGCTTGACAGGGCTTGGCCCTGAGCATCCTCCAAAGGCTGATCATGCTTTCATCAGGGGCAGTTGGAGCAGATGACGTCCAGAGGTCCCTTCCAATCTCAAGGATCCTGTGATTCTGTCGTGGGAAATGATGGGTTCTGCACAGTTGCTCCTAAAAGGGAAGAACTGGTTGGAAACATTGGAATTCAAAGGAGGGCAACCTTGGTTCTCACACCTCAGAGACACTGGAGTCAAGACCTGATGGCAGGAAGGAAAGCCAGTAGCACAGGACAGGTCCTGGATTCAGACACAGCAGATTCAGCTTAAGCAGCTGTTAGGGATGATTTCATGGACACGCCTTTTGGGCAGCACATGGTTCAAGAGCAAAAAGGGTCCAGCCCAATACTCAAAAACAAGGAGATGTCTGAGCAGACTGGCTTTGACCAAGTGGGGTTATGAAGACAGATCACCAACATCTAAACGCAGTGTCCTGGAGCTGAAGGGAGGGATGATCTTCAAAGGAGGAATTTAGAAATATTTCATAAGGCATTTTGGAGTGCTGTTACAAAAATCAAAGCTCAGCATGCCTTGAGTCTTGAGAGACACATCCAGAGGAATAGACAACAAACATCATCCTACAAGAGCAGTTAAAGACTACCAAGGAAAACGTGGTTTTCCTGACAGGGGCAGCTGATTTCCTGAAGAGTGTCCAGAGAAAAGGTTGGGGGAGTCAATGCCTTCTCTCTCTCAGTCATCACCTAGGAGTTCTCCCAGGCTGCTGTGCCCTCTCATCTAGTTGAAGGAAGTAGTGGGAAACCTCCAGCAGTGGATGGGCTTCAAGTCAAGGATTGCCTGAGAAAAGCCAATCCATACAAGCAGAGGGTGGAAGGGAATGGATACACCTGCCTTATCTACTTGGGCTGAGACTTGTCTCAGGCTGTGGTGAGGAGCTCTCCTGAATGTTTTGTGGAGTTAAAGAAAGGGTTGCAGAAAACCTCTCCCCACCACCTTGAACATACCCTTGGGTCTCACATGACATGACTTCTCTTGGAATTAGTGCTTCATCATGGTCCCTTTCCCCTGACCCAAAGACTGGCTCAGCCTGGAGCACAAATTGGTACCATTCAGGAAGCAGAAACTTGCCCAACTCGCAAGTAAATGTGGCCTGGCAGGACCCTGCAGCTCCACGTGCCTGGGGATGCTCAGGGAGGGGACGTGCCCAGAAGGGCCCTGGGTACAAACCCAGCTCTCACACTACGCCAAGCAGTGATGCTCTTCCTGCCCTGCAGACATGGAGGCAGCTGGGACTCACCCCAGGAGAGCAAGGGAATGCCTTCAGTAGGCAAATTGCCTGGGATGGACTCTCCCAACCCATGGCGAGTCACACTCTAATTTTGGATTCACCATGTGTCATCTTTTTGGTGTGCTGTGTGCAGGCCCATGTCCCACACAGAGCTGAATTCCCCTCCAGCAAGGGCAGCTCCATCCATGCCTCAGAAAAACCATCTTCAGTCACTGGGCTGATCCTCATTCACAGCTCTGGGCAGCTTGAACAGACACCACCCTCAGCACGGACTCATTGCCATCACTCCACAGCTCAGGGGGCTTTCAGGACAGTAGGTTTGTTCTGGAAAAGATTCTCCTGCTAGTGTGGGACCAAATTGTGGGGTCACAGTGTACGGTGATCTGAGGAAAATGGGAAGAACGAGATGCTTCACTGAGCCCCAACACACCCCTAGGGCAGTGAGAAAGGACCCAGCTCTACAGGGCGAGTTGAGGAATCACAGGGTTCAGGAGAGCAAGTTATCCTTCCCCATGCCACTCATGACACTCGTTGGGAACCCTACAAGGTTGCCAGGAGAGGGGACAACCTTGCCAAACAAACTGCCATGGGCAGGAGTGGACTGAATTGGTGGGAGGGTATGTTCAGAAGCCTCCAAAGAGGGTAGAAAACAACCACAACATATTGGTGTCAACATTCTCCACAGACCCTTCCAGCACATGGAACACATCTTCTGCCTGNGCAAAGGGCCTCAGAGCCCAGGGAGTGACTGGAGCCCCTGGGACAGGAGGGGCTGCCTGAGGTGGGCTTGTCCCCCTGGAGGAGAGAGGGCATCCGGGCACACTTCCCAGGAATGGGAAAAAGAGCTGCTGGGAGGGAGTCCAGAACTCAGAGCCAGACTCTCCTGAGTCCTATGCAGTGGAGATGGGAATCTGGTAAATGGGATGCTAAGGAGGTATCCGTGAAGCAGAAAAAAGGTCGAAAAACCGGCAGCACCTTTGGCACTTCAAGAGGTCAAAGTTCATGAAAGGTCCAGGCAAAATAAAGGAAAACGAGAGGAGACGCTGATGGAGGGGAGGGAATGGACACAGAGGCCTCATCTTTCTGGTCAAAGAGACCAGGCTGTGGAGGGGAGCTCTCCTGGATGCTCAGGAGATGAAAGAAGGGGTTTTTCAAAGCACCTGCCCACTGGCTGGGACTCATCCCTGGCTCTCAATCTCTGTGTCTTCTGCTGGGCATTGGCCCTTTCCCACAACCCAGAAGCTTCCTCAGCCTAGAGAACAACCCAACCCAGCACCACTGGACAGGCAGGAAAACCTTCTTCATGTCCCCAACACGTGAGAGCTGCAGGGAAACTGCAGTTCCACGTGCCTGGGGATGCTCAGGGAGGGGACGTGCCCAGAAGGGCCCTGGGTACAAACCCAGCTCTCACACTACGCCAAGCAGTGATGCTCTTCCTGCCCTGCAGACATGGAGGCAGCGGGGACGCATCCCAGGAGGGCAAAGGAATGCCTTCAGTAGGCAAATTGCCTGGGATGGACTCTCCCTACCCCTGGCGAGTCACGCTTTGATTTCGGGGTTGGCCTTGTGTCAGCCTTTTGGTGTTGGCCAAGCCAGGAGTGTGTGCTGTCTGCAGGCTTGAGTCCCATGGGGGGGCAAATTCCCCCCCAGCAAGGGCAGCTCCATGAGAACATCGGTGCTTGGCAGCACTTCCAAAGGTCAGGAGTGTCTCAGGACTGACTATGTGTATTGGAAAAGTGTCCTGTGCTTGTGTGTCATCCAGGTCAGGGTGCAAAGCCTTCAACTAAAGTGCATTGTGGGGTGAGGAGAGAGGAAGGAAGAAGGCACTGTCCTTAGATCCAAGGTAGTGTGGAGGTACCCAACAGCACAGGGTTCTACTTGAGACTTGATTCCTGCCCATAATCATTGAATTATTGAATCAGAGACAAAATATGACTGGAAAAGACTCTTAAGATCATTAAGTCCAACCATTGCTCATGTTCCTGCAACAAAAATCCTTGAGTTTCTTGTACCACTACATAAAAGGAATCTCCATCACCCGGTGGAAATGTCAGAAATGAGGAAATTAAATGGAAACATTGACAGAAGCCAAAACACAGCCTGCAGCATTAGGTGGGATAGTTTGCTTTGGAGGTGAGTCTGTTGGAAAATTAATGCCCTGTGCAGTGACTGTGGGCCTGGGGCAGTGCAGGAGAAGTATAAAAGCAGGCCCTTGTCCTCACTCTCTCATCCACTCCTCTCAACTCCATCTCCTTGGCAGTAAGGTGTG